CGTAGTGATACTGCCTTGGAAACCCAAGGAGGGGTCACTATGAGTTGGGTCTGACTCAATGGCACATAACAACAACAACAACAACAACAGCTTCCTAAACTGTAAGAGAATAAACTCCTGTTTGTTAAAGCCATCCCATTTGTGGTATTTTCTGTCAAAGCAGCACAGAGGTAACCAAAAGAGAGGCAAATTCTCTTTCCTATTTACTGAAGTCCTTTTGTGAACCAAAAAAAGGCAAAAAATTAAGTATCTATTACAACTTTCAAAACATCTAGATCAACACAGCAAATGATCTAATCTATTGTACCATTTTCAGAGTCAATTGGATTTTCAGTATAGGGTTTAGCAATTTGACTTTTCAAGCATGAACAGGTTTAAAAATGAAAGTGGGCTGTTACAGAAGCTGCTGGCTCTGTATTCTTCCAAAGTATATGCTTCCTGGCTACTCACATAGAGAAATGTCTGTCATTCATTATGTTTGTATGCTTCCAAGAGTTTGATTGAAAACATTGTAAATTTCACTTTGTGGGGCTGACTGTTGTTAATTTGTGAAATTTTTGATGAAGCAACTGTTATGTTTTCTATTTCATCTTTCATCTGGATCCAGCAGGATCTCAGACTAGTTTTTCTCTCTAACTTTTTTTAATTGAAATATAACAAACAATGAAAATCACAAATTCAGTTCAGTAAACTATCATAAAGTGAACACACACATGTAACCCCCACTGGGATCAAGGAAGAGGACATTACTACCAGCAGTAGGGCTTTTTCATAGCAAAAGGAATGGGCTCCAATTTTCATCTGTAGTAAAACCACTCTAATTAGTACTTTACTAAATTTGGAATTTGATATAGTTTGAATTTTGGAATTTGAAGAAGGAGTCAAGAAATCAAATGACATATTGCATTGGGCAAATCTGCTGCAAATGATCTCTTCAAAGCAGTAAAAAGCAAAGATTTTAAAACTAAGGTGCACCTGACCCAAGCCATGGTATTTTCAATTGCCTCATATGCTTGTGAAAACTGGATAATGAATAAGGAAAACCAGAGAAGAACTGATATCTTTGAAGTATGATGTTGGCAAAGCATGTTAAACATACCATGGACTGCCAGAAGAACAAATAAATTTGTCCCGGAAGAAGTATGGCCACAATGCTCCTTAGGAGCAAGGATGGTGAGACTTTGTCTTCTCACCTGCTTTGGACCTTTTATCAGTAGGGACCAGTCCCTGGAGAAGGACATCGTGCTTGGTAAAGTTGAGGGTCAGTGAAAAGGAGGAAGACTTTCAACAAGATGGATTGACATAGTGGCTGCAACAATGGCTTCAAACATAGCAACAATTCTGAGGATGGCAGTGTTTTGTTCTTTTGTACAAAAGGCATTATCATTCAGAACTACCTTGATAGCAGCTAACAATAAGAACAATTTTTTTGAAGTCTAAAATTTCCATGTGTTTAGTTTTCTTAAAGTAATATGTTTGTCATCTATAGTGGTGGAAATAAACACAATTTACAGGAGGTATATATAATCTATAATATTTTAAATGAACTTCAGTGTACTTTTTTTGTATATGGAAGCTACTGATTAGTAATATTTTTTTCTACTTGTTAGAGTGGCTGCTATGGTTACTTATTGTATTGTATTGTAGTTAAAGAAATAAGGCCATATTTTTGTGTTCCGTAGTTCAGATCATTCACTTATTCTATTGGCTTTGTTCATTGGTTCAGATTAAGCTTTTTCTCTACAAAACCATAAAAACAAAAATACAGAACAAACAAACAAACAAACAAACAAACCCACTGCCATCGAGTCAATTACTACTCATAGTGACCCCCTTTGGGTTTCTGAGGCAGTAAATCTTTACAGAAATAGATTGCCTCATCTTCCTTCTTCAGAGTGGCTGGTGGTTTGAACCACAAGTGTGTTTGAAACACCAACCTTCTGGTTAGCCGTCAAATGCCTCAGGCACTGCACCACCAGAGCTCCTCTTCAACAAACGAAGTTGCCTCTAAATCTTACAATCATAGAATCCTTAAATGTTATTGTTAAAAGGGGTCTTGGCAATGATCTATTCCAGATTCTTCTCTTTACAATGAGCACATGGAAATAGAGATTAAATGATACTTGTAAAGCCATATGGACTTATTCTGTGTGAACATGAGGGTTGGTCACAATATTGACAAAGGGTCCCTCACTTTATTCTTAGTCAATTTATTGTGAAGTAGCACCAGAGTATTAGATCAACCAGCCTGATATTAAGCCTCACAAAGATGGAGACTCACTGAGACATGACAGGTACCTTTGATATTAGTCAGAGACAGGAGGAAAGACCTCCACAGCAGTGGACTTGGCATACATAGCCAAAGAATTCTTGGGCCATGAAGACATTTGATGTTGTATCCGGGAATTCTGTCCCTGACTTAAAATATACAATTGTGGCACAAAGAAATCTTGTGATGGAGAAAGCCAGGAATTGTTTCAGGAACATTACTAGAAGAACACAGGAAAAAATTTAACAAATGTTGGGCTCACAAATGTGGGTTCACACAAATTTCTCTTAGCAATTACTGTAATCTTCATTCACAGAATGACCCAGAAAAAAAAAAAAAAATTAAACAATATGCTATACAAAAAAAGCCAGAGTCTCTTGATTGTCCTAAGAAGGTATTGGTAAGCCAGTTCTCATTTTGGGACATAAAAATGTCACCATCTTGATTTTAAAGAACCTCACAGAGTGAGTTCAGAGGAAACAGGAGTGGTATATAAAATTGACAGAAAGTCCCCAGCCATGTGGTGGTCATGTGAAGCACAGAAGCTGGGACTAATGGATTGATTCCTGGTCCATCTCTACTCCATTTCCTTCCCAGCAACCTTGGCAGTGCCTATGCCAGGAACTAGGTTGTCCTGAGCGAGGAAAGCTGAGGAAGCAGGGGCCTTCACTGTGCTGGGCTCTTAGAAAAGCTTCCCCACCCTCCCCTAGCTGGCAGCTACTGACCATAGGCCCTGGGTCTGAATTTCTCCAAACAGAAGCACTGGTATTTCAGAGGCTTAAAAAATGCTCTAGACATAAGGAAGTCAGTGTCCTTCCTTGCTTCCTTAGTGTGGTAAACTCCATGTGCCTGATTTGAGCTTGGACAAAACCTGTTTTATTTCCTTTAAGGAGATAGAAACCCCTCCTCCACAAAGGAAAAGCATTAAAAAATACATTTTTCTACTGATGAGGACCTAGTATTCTGAGAATATGGCCTATCTCTTCTCTATCTTTGTGCCCTGAGTGTAAGAATCCTCAAGATGTTCTTACCTTCTTTTCCCAGAATAAATAAGCCTGTGTCTTTCCCCTTTGCAGAGAAAGGAGAACTGTTTGTACCTTCTCCCAGTTATTTTGATGTTGTCTACTTGAACCCGGACAGACAGGCTGTGGTTCCTTGTCGAGTGACCGTCCTGTCAGCCAAAGTCACACTCCACAGAGAGTTTCCAGCCAAGGAAATCCCAGCCAATGGAAAGGACATTATGTACGACATGAAGAGAGGCTTTGTGTACCTGCAACCTCACTCTGACCACCAGGGGGTGGTCTACTGCAAGGCTGAGGCTGGGGGCAAGTCTCAGATCTCTGTTAAGTACCAACTGCTCTACGTAGAGGGTAAGCCTGCTACCCACCAAGTATGTACATTCTCTATGTACAGATGGAAATGAGGAGGCACGGAATGCTGTTCTTAAAGTCAAGACTGACTACTGCAACACATTCCTAGAGAGTTACTTCCTTATCAGTGACCCTGACCCAACACTCCTCTACTTCCTTCCCTCCCAAATCTTTCCTTTGCTTTTCCTGGTTCTGCCTGTGTGTGATAGGTCAGCAATTTCCCTAAGTCCCCAAGCTTCTCGTAAAACATCCTCTCAGCCTCTTCGCCTTAACCAAAATCTCCTGTCTGTCGTCTCCTAAGGGCACCATCCTTTCCTTACCTCAAGGCCTGGAGGGGGTCAATGTCCTTCCTGTGCCTATTCCCACTTCCCAACCATCATTCCCTCACCTTCTGTTAAGAACCTCTCCTCCTCTGAGGCTCCTGCCATGTGGCTACACCAGCCTTCTCTTCTCCTTTCCTGTCTCTTTCCCCTCATTCATTGAATATCTTGGTACTTGGCTCACAGTTCTCCTCACCATTCCACTTTCTTGATGACTTCAACATCCACTTGGGATGCATTGGCCCGGTTGCCTGACCCTCTGCCACAGTCACAGCTTTTACAGTGTCAGCAGCTACAACTTCTCTGATGTAGGAATCACTGATTCAGACCCCAACTCCAACCAGTCTTACATCTTCCCAGGATGTTTGTTCAGGACTCTTTCTGCACCAGCCCTCACCTCTGCATACCATTCTGAACTATTCAGTTGTCTCCTGCCCTCTCCGCCCCCATCCAGCTCAGATTCCATGGCGCATCACTTCAATGACCTCTTGCCAGTACCCTGAACTCTTCACCCTCTGTGCTTTTCTGCCACTTGTCCAGGAAAACACCATCCTACATGTACCCAGGGAGCCAAGGGCTGCTGGAAAAACCTCACACGCTGCTAGATGGTACCCCTATAAACTCCTGGTTTTCAGTCTGTCCAACCTGGCAGTTCTATCGCATTTTTTTCATTTCTTTCCATTTTCCACAATGAGCATTGAACAATTCTTCACGAATTCTTAGGATCTGCCTGCCTCCTCTTCCCCTTCCAATTCCCTTCACTCCTTCATCTTGACAGAGTTGAAACATACTCAAATCTTCAAGTATGACTTTTTTTTTTTTTTTTTACTGGTTCATGTTTAATTTTTCTGAATATACATGAATGCTGAAAAAGATTGTTTTGTCTCTAGTTTGGTGCATTATACTGTATATGACAATTACAAATTGTAACTTCTTTTTTTTTTTTTTAAATGTAACCATTATAGTGAGGAGTTTCAATCTGGTGGATTCACACTTGAACTATTTTTCTCTACAGTAACTGCCATTGATTCTGCTGTGTTGAAATTTCCTATCCTAAGAGTTGTGAGTGAGGTTCATAAATGACATTGCAGTCCAATTCCACCATCAATAGTCACTTTAGATTAGGAAGACAGCCTCAAACTGTCTTTTTCTGAGACTGTTCATTTAAAAACTTTAATCCCACCTTTAATGCAAAACCCACTGGCATCAGGCTCCACATGAGATTCTGGCAGCTTGGAGAGTGCACGCAGGAGGCCAACCCTCACCTTTCTCCATCCCTGCTCTGGTGCTGGGCAATAGAGGGCCCTACACCTAGAGGTGTCCCATAGTGGCAAATGCTGACCTGGCTTCCTCTCTGCAAACCTGATGGGGAGAGGTTGTGGTGCCAACATCTTGTCATAAGCAGCCTCCCTTGGTGCTGTAGGCTCCTTAACCAGATGCAGACTCACTCTCCTCCTGAACCCTGCTTGGTCTCTGTGCATGTCTTTGTTCTGAGCTGCCTGTGGTCTCAGAGGGCTGTAGCTCTGGGGTCCCTATGCCCCTCTCATCTCTTGACTCTGAAGCACATGGGAAACAGAACTTGGAAGCCGGAACACAATCTAGGCCTTCTCCATCTGGCAGCACCCACCCTGCCACCCCTCCTGGTGAGCAGACTAAAGAAGGACTTGCTGCTGCCCCTCCTCTGACTTCCTGAAGGGAAGCTCCTCCTCTCTCCAGCTCCTTTCACATGAAGAGAGGAAAGAGTTTCTCTTCACGCTCTATTGTCCCTCAAAGGTGATGCTCTCTCTGAGAACTCTTACACTGACCGGAGTGAATGCTCTGTGGATGCACTAGAGTGCTTTCTGTGCATTGGTGCCTTTGCAGCAGTCCTGTGGGAAAAAGAGCAGTGCTCAGAGTCAGCTGGTGTCCAGACTCAGAATTTGGGCTGCTTAATGCATGCCTCCAAGGAGCTCTGGTGGCACAGTGGTTAAAGCATTTGGTTGTTAACCAACAGGTTGGCAATTCAAACTTACCAGGTGCTCCAGGTGGAAGAAAGATGAGGCAATCTGCTTCCATAAATATTTATAGCCTTGGAAACCCTGTGGGGCAGTTCTATTCTGTTCTGTAGGGTCACTATGAGTAAGAATTAACTCGATGGCAATGTTTTTTTTTTTTTTTTAATACATGCCTCTTGTTCTCAGTCATGGGACAGTAGCCCCTAACATTATTGCATTACCTAATAACCTGTTGCAACTTCCCTTGACCACCTCAGAGCTCCACCAAGGCCATCTTTCTTCCACCATCACAACCAAACTCCCTGAAAGAGCTGTCTGTACTTCCCATCTCTGTTTCTTTTTCTCCAACATGCTCCTGAGTCCACTCACATCTGGCGTTCTCCCTTCTCCTCCACCAAAACAGGTATTGCCAAGGTTCTCAAGGACTTTCATGTCATTAAATCCACTAGATATTTTTTATTTTGGGTCTGCATTCTACTAGATTCTACCTCCTTTGTGTGAAACCTCTTTCTTTGGCTCCACATTCTCTTGCTCCCACTCCCCTCCAACTTTCTTATTCTGATTTGTCAGCTCTTTGTCATCTAATCAGTTCACATCAAGTGAATTCTGACTCATGGTGACTCTATATGTGACAGTGTGCTCCATAGGGTTTTCACTGGCTGATTTTTTGAAGTACATCAACAGGACTTTATACCAAAGTGCCTCTGGGTGGGCTTGAACCACCAACCTTTCAGTTAACAGCAGAGTGCTAACCATTTGCACCACCAGGGGGCCCTTTTAAAGGTTTTAAATGTTGGAATTACCCTGGTCACTCTTCTTGTTCACTCTGTCCCCTCTCTGTGCAGTTTCAGCCATATTCATGGCTCCATATACTCGCTACACTAATAATTCCTAAATTAATATATCTGGCCCAGATCTATGGGCTGCAAAGCCATGTTTCCAACTACTTACTACCTGCACTTAGAGGCTTCCCAGGCCCTTCAACCCCACATGCCCATCACCAAACTCAGGGTGTTCCTTCCCAGGCCTGGTTCCTCGGTATTCTCTATCCCAATGATAGCACTATCATTCATCCAGGTACACAGGCTGAAGACTGGGAGTCAGTCACATCCGACAGTCCCTTCTCCCCTTGACCTGTTGACTTTTCTCCTTAAGTCACCCTAAAATCCTGCTGTTCCTCTCCTCACTTTAAATACAGATCAGGTTATCACCATCTCTCCCTGGACTAACACAAACATGTTTCTAATTGGTGTCCCTACATTCGTCTTTTCTCTCTCCAACCCATTTTCCACATTGTGGTGTTGTTAGCTGCCACTGAGTTGGCCCCAACTCATGGCAACTCTGTGGCACAACTGAACAAAACATGGTCCTGTGCCATCCCCAAGATGAGTTGTGGAATGAATTATTGTGCTCGATAGGGTTCTCATTGGCTGATTTTGGAAGCAGATTGCCAGGCCTTTCTTTTGAGTCCATCTTAGTCTGGAAGCTCTGCTGAAACCTGCCCAGTGTCATGCAATTAGGCACACCTCCACCGAGAGTGAGGTGGTGGATGCACAAGTGTGCACTGGCCAGGAATCGAATCTGGATCTCTCACATGGAAGGTGAGGATTCTACACTGAACTACCTCAGCCTTTGATTATATCCATTAGCTCCCCACTTCTCCTAGAACCAATCCTCCATGTGGCTTGAAAGGCCCTGTGTGACATACCTGACCAGTCTGGTCCTACTCCTTTCTTCCCTACCCTGCAGCATGGTCTGTCTACATTAGGGCACCTCCTCTCACCTCAGGGGCTGTGGACACTGCCATTCCCAGCCAAATGGGTGGGTGCTTTCTCACTTCTCCAATCCATGTATGTTCAAACTTTGCTTTTCCTGGTTCTCTCAGTCTGAATTTCCAGACCACTCTGGGCTTCTTCATAGCTCTTAACACAACTGAACCATACAATTACTTGCTTAATGTCTATCTCCTCCACTGTACTAGAGGTTTCAGCAGTTCCAAGAGTATGTCTGTTTGTTCACCACTCTACTCCTAGCTTCTAGCACACTGCATTGCTCAAAGGTGCCATCAAAATTCAACTCACTTGTTGAGTGAACTGACCATAATGAAGAAATTTGTTTCTGAAGTGCTGTAAAGGTTCTGCAGACATATATAGCATTTTCACCTTCCTGGAAACATTTTTCTCATGATTATAGTTAGACTTCCTCCTGTTTGGAAGATGGACAATCTTTCTCTCCTTTAGATGTTCTCTAACCATCCTTTCACTACACTCTTTCTCTCCAAGCACCTTCTTCCTCTTGTCCCTGTTTCCTAGTGCTACCACATAACACCACCACCACCACCATCAAAAGGAAGGGGGAAAAAGAAACACAAAGTGGGTGACTTTAAAGAATAGAAATTTTTTTTCTCATAGTTCTGGAGGCTAGAAGCCTGAATTTAAGGCTTTCAGAGGGCTATCCTTTTTCTCCAGTGGGTCTAGGGGAAGAATTCTCCTTGAAGTCATGGGTGTTTCTTGGTTGTAGATAGATCTTCACCTGATGTCTTCCCTCTGTGTGTGTGTTCTCACCTTTATAAAACACCATTCAGAGGGATTAGGATAGGACCCACTCTCGTCCCGTCCCCGTATGACCTCATTTAACGGATAACAATTTGTTGTTGTTAGTTGCTATTGAGTCAGCTCTGCCTCCTGCTGACCTTATGTATAACAGAGATAAACATTGCCCAGTCCTGGGCCATCTTCATGATCATTGCCATGGTGGAGTCCATTGTTACGGCTTTTTGTCAATCCATCTCAGTGAAGGTGTCTCTCATTATTTGATAACAACAGAAAACCCTATTTTGAAACAAGTGCATGTTGATAATACTGTTAGGAATCAAATACATCTTTTTTGGGAAAATATTTCACTCCATAACACCCCTCAACTTTCTGCTGCCTTCACATCGGCCCCGGCAGACCTCTTAGCCCCCTCCTTAATTACAAGGGTCTGGCTGGACCTTGGAAGCTCTGGATAATGACTTCATTCTGGACCACCATCTCCTCTATCCACAGAAATAAAGGAGCAACAAAATATATATATATATATGATAGAGTATGCCTGATATAGTTGGGGAGCTATAAGAAAGGCACATACCTACCTGCTTCTCCAAAAGAATATGTGTGTTGGTTTGTCTTTAATGTTGTATTCATGGATTTGATTTCACTTTCCCTGTCTTCTGCTTACTTCCAGTTCCCAGTGGACCTCCATCAACAACCATCTTGGCGTCCTCAAACAAAGTGAAAGGTGGGGATGATATCAATGTCCTCTGCACTGTCCTAGGGGAGCCTGATGTTGAGGTGGAATTCAGGTGGATCTATCCAGGGCAGAAGGTAGGCTCCATACCCATCTCAGTCAGGGCTTTCAATTCTGGGTGTTTTTTTTTTCTCAATGAGACAGGCCATAACTTAAGTGCTGGAAGACTGTGGGACTATGGTGGGAACCAAGGCTTACTTATTTTAAGATATTTACAAACTGACTTTTTGAAAAAAATAAAAGAAGAAAAAGTAACAGAGTTCCACTGGCAATTCACTCAATGGACCCTCTTCAATGCAATTTTTCCTATAACTCTTAATTAAGAAGGTCAGAGGTCTAAAAGGCAAAGGAGAGGGCTTTCCTCTCCCTCCAGCTCCCCAACCTTAATCTTCAGTCCCTCTTCCAGGTCATTTAGAGGTTATTCTAACCTCCTTCCCACATCCTTCAGAATTTTCTCCTCTTTACAAGCTGTCTCCTATGGTGAGGAACCCTGAGCAGACATTCTCCAAGTGGGCAGTGAAACATAAGCGCTATCAAAAAGGTGCAGTGAAGCTAGAGATCATTTTAAAATAGACTTGCCATAAAAGTAACTACAGCATATTTAGCCTTTATGCATGCTCTTCTCACTAAAATAAACAGCTTGGCTATCAACATGGAATGATCCCTGTGTTGCCAAAAGAGATTTGGCCTCCCATGACATACTCTGGAGCTAACACATTTTTGGATTATGGGCTGTGATTGGTGGAAAATAGCTATCCTTGGAGAATAGTATCTTCTAGCATCCTGGTACTCAGTACTTGTTTTAAAATGTTGCCACACTCAGAAGACACTAATGTTTAAAGTAGAGGGTTGTTTTCTACATTGTTAACTAGCATTTTATGAGCAGAAAGGGTTTTAATTATATTTAAAATATTAGTTATATTAAACTAATAAAGAAAACATGTTCTTATCACTAAAGTTGGCTGAAGCATCTCAAAAGTAACCCTCTCAGTTTCTAGAAAAAGAGGGTCAACTCCTCTGGGGTGCCGTGTTATGCATCCTTGGTACTTTCCTCCCACTGGAGCCCTATGACATACTTGACTAGTTACACTTCCTGTCCTGCATCTGAACAACCGGGTATTCTTACTCATTTCTGTAGTGAGTGCCTTGGGCTTCTTTTTGACTTTATGAGAATAAAACCCACTTAGTAAGGGAGTGAAAGTGGGCAATGTGAGGAGGGGTGGAATGGAAAATTTTATGCATATTTTTATGGCAAACAGAAGTTCCACTTTCTTGGAATTTCAAAAGAATAAATTTGATTTTAAGTAGAAACTTACTGGGGGGAAAAAAAAGGCAGAGAGGGAGCAAGCCAAACAGCCTAGTGATATTCAAGACTCTGCTTGGAAAAAATACAGCCTAAAATGATTGATTATACAGTGTAAAAGCTCCCACAGCCTATGAGCTACGCATACCAAACAGTCTTTTCTAAGCATGTGTTTTACACTTTGAAAAGAACACTCAGCAGTGTTGGGTGAATGGGAGCTGTTTATAGCAGCTTGTCATTGGTGCTTCAGTGTGTGGGTGTTGTTAAACAGGATGAAAGGCCTGTGACGATTCAAGACACTTGGAGGCTGATCCACAGAGGACTTGGACACACCACAAGAATCTCCCAGAGTGTCATTACAGTTGAAGACTTTGAGACCATTGATGCAGGATATTACATTTGCACTGCTCAGAATCTCCGAGGACAGACTTCAGTAGCTACCACTGTTGAGTTTTCCTGACTTGGAAAATAAAGTATAATGAGCTGATGGAAAACCCATGTGTGTCGACAATAAGCTTTGAGGTTCTTTTGACCAGTGGTTAGCCAGGGGCTGATGTCAAGTGCCAATCCCTATCCTTTGCCATGTGAGTCAGACCTGGGCATCCAAACTAAAAGGAAGTCACCCGGTCTAATAATAGAAGTGTTAATTTTTCTAACAGAAAGCATGTATTTTGATTGCTTGCCTACATACATGTTTCCAGTGTTTATATTAAGAAAGCATATATGTGAACAACTTTATATAATCATTTCTATTAAATGAGCAAGTTTTTGTAAAAAATGAAAAATGGGCTAAGTGTTCTTGTTTTTAAGCTAGCTTGAAGATCATCCAGAAGGACCTTAGTGCCAGCGATGCCAAGGTCAGTACCTACTATTCTATTTGATATCACGATTATAATACACTCAGAATTTTTTTTTTTTTTAAAGCATCAATATATACTATGAAAAAACAGCTGCCATTGAGTCAGTTCTGACTCGCAACTTCATGTGTGTCAGAGGAAAACTGTGCTCCATAGAGTTTTCAGTGGTTGATTTTTTGGAAGTAGATTGCCAGGCCTTAATTCCCAGGCATCTCTCGGTGGACTCAAACCTGCAACCTTTCAGTTAGCAGCCAATGCGTTAACTGTATGCCATATGCAGGGACTCCAGTATACAGTATAGATAACTTTTTAAAAAGCATATGCACGGACCAAAAATGTCATCTTTTAACTTTTACCATCTTCAAAAATAGCTAGACCATACTATGCCAATTTTCTTACCTTACACTATAGAAATTGTTAAAATCAGTCCAAATTTATTTCTCAAATACACATAGCATTGAGTTATTCCACATCTGTGCACCATATTTCAGTCCATGACCAATTTTGTGACTGCATTGGAAATTCCTGGAAAATAGCTTCAGAGGAGACACAATCTTAATGCAGTGGGATGGGCAATAAACTTGATTACCATTTTGAAGAGTGAAGTATGCCAAAGGTTACAATTCTTATATGGAATATTCCAGCATTATTTATTTGATCAAAGTAAAATACACTTTCCATCACTACAAACTGAGTACAACTACAGTTGGTTACACATCCATATTTTTCTATGAGTGCCAACATTTTGCATCCTACATGAAACATTTGGTTTGAAAAAAATCATAAAGTTCTCTATTTATTTCCTATCTTCTTTCTTGTTGTCTCCCATCCTCTGAAGACATTGTATAGTAGTTTCTGTAAGATTTATTTCCCCAGACACCTAAATAGTATGGAAAACAGGAGGGAAAAGTACAAGATTTACCATGCATAGGGGATGAATGGCAAACCCAACTTTGGCTGATGACATTGAGTACAACTCAGAAGTGTTAGCAGAGATATTCCAGGAGGTGGCAGTGAAGCTACATTCTAATTTATCAGAAGCAAACATGAGAGGTTAGAAACATAATAAACTATTGGAGGTTAAAGACTTAAGACACAATCACTAATTAAAAAAACATGCATCATGAATATCAATTCACCATGTAGTGTACATGTAAATGATGAGTCAGATATCCACGTCTGGTATCCTGAATTTATTCTTATTATAGGGGTTATTTGTGCAGCCAGCAAATGTCAGCAATGCAGGTTAGTAAATACTGACATCACAAGATTGACACATGTAGAGTGAGGGGGAAAAGCCACAGCTCTTCCTTCCACCTCCCCCAAGGTGTTAGAATTGAGAGCAGGTGGGTAATAAATGAAGTTTTGGAAAGAAATTGAAATGTAACTTGAAGGGCAGTTGGACCAGCTGCATTTTCCACTTATCAGCTGGCCATTCTACTCCCTTCTCAGGGATAGAGAGGTTCCTCAAAGTGTACAAGGAACCTCAGCAGTGTCTTCCCAGACCATTTTATCAAATTCTACGAAGTTCTGTTAAACACTGCATCACTGGTTCAATCAAGGTCCCCCTCCTCATCAGTGAGCACTTGATCCTAGCTTTCTTAGCTCTGCCTGTCAATAACTTTCTCCTTCTTATTCTCTATTCTCTCTTAGCTTTTTAAGATTTGTAGTATCAGATCCAGGCCTTAGTTTATTTGGTAAGTGGTTTCAGCACCTTGAAAATTAGCTGGCTCTGCAAAAGCAGATTCCTTATCCTTGTCCCAGAGAATAATCAGGAGGAGGTAGAAGGTTGGCTTTTGTGGCTCTGGATGGGGAAGAAAGGAAAGGGAGAAATGTGGAAGAAAGGGAGAGAAGACAACAGTATCAAGCTGCAAGGATAGCTTAGATCAAGGTAAAAATAAGGCAGCAACCATTCAATAGTACTGCCCTTTTTCTTTATACAGATTTTAGAAAAATTAGGGTACTAACATTTCCTTATAGCCTGAGAAAATGGATCGTAATATGGTGCCAAGCTCACATGGATAAGTTAAAAATCTACAGAAAAACCTAGCTAGTTTCAATTGACATGGCTGAACACTGAAAAACCATCCAACAGAGACTCCAAATGGATACAGGGAACATACAGACCAATCAAAGTTTTCCTGTCATACTCTCTGCCCCCATGCCAAAGAGCTGAGCGGAGTTGCTGATAATCATACTCCAAGCAGCTATTGCTCTTTCTTCTATGGCTTTTGCTGAACTGTGTACACTATTATTTGATTAGTACATATGGAGCTATAGTCAGCTTTTGACTTACAATAAACAGCAAAGAAGGCAGCAGGCATCAGACCCCAAAACACTGATCCGTCCATTTCATTCACACATCCTCAGTCAGACTGAAATAAAAGTCACAAGAAGGTGTCTGTGGTGAAGAAAATTATAAAGGTTATAAATTTTTATCTTAATAGGCCCCTGAGAGTTTTTCCCCTTATGCGTAGGTGAAAAAGGCAATGAACAAGATTCTCTCGTTCTTTAAGTGCTTTGTGCAACGATGTCCATGTAGATGAATTCCAAGATCCTTTTTGGAGAAGTCTTTTGGCCTGAGCCAAAAGTCTTACTCCAGAGTTCCAGTCTCCTAAGTAGCCCATTCCAGTGGTGGTTACTTTCCAGTTATATTGCGATAATTACACGTAAGCTAATGTAGCTCTTAGTCCCATGATCATCAGTAGGGTGAGTTCTGCAGACCTGTATCAAAATGCTTCCAGGTAGTCTCTCAGCTTCCAGAAAGCGTCATCTGGGTGAGATGCTGGGGCTGGAGAAGGAGCCAGAGTGTCTTGGTGACTGGAAAGGGATGGCCGAGGACGTGGGAGACCTTTTGGGGCTGCACAAGTCCCCATTGTGCAGCTTCCACAGCAGCTCCTCGTTCTCCATGGACAGCCGTTTGTTGACTTTTGACTCCTTCTCCAACGACTCCTGCAGAACAGCTTGCTCAGTGGAAAGTTGCCTTAAAAACAAAAAGATAGCCAGGGGCCATGTGGCTCTAGGTTAAAATTTAACTTGAAAAAAGTTTACCATTTTAGGTTTGGGAATAAAAAGTACCCCTTTGAAACAAAATGGATTCATGCACAGAGCTATAGGTTACAGGCATTCGGCTGGCTGAGGAACCCTAGAAATGTGGGCCTGAGCCAGGGGAAAAACTTACTGTTTGGCAATTTTGATAGCAGGCTGAGTGATGCTTCCACAAATGTTATGCACATTTTAAGACTACCTTACGTTTGGGGCTGTTTTCTATTTGGTTTCATGTCGGTGTTTTTCTGAAAGCAATCTCAGAGTCAGGAAGCCAGAGGAGGGTTTCCTTGCTGAAGTCTGTTTGGTCCAGTCCACTTCATTATAAACATGAAGTAGTGATAATATTTTTCACATAAAATTTAAGACCCCATTTAGCCACCCCTTCAATTGCAGCTCCAGGAGGTACATGGGTGGAGTATGGCTAAGAAAGCTATACTGGATGTTCCAGTAAGGGATGGGCTTTGGGAAAATAGGTGAAAAACAATTTTTACCTTGAAATTGCCATGTGCTTGTCCATCCGAGCTTTTAATTCCTCATTCTCCTGTTGGAATCGCTTCAGTTTGTCAACCAGTGCTGTGTTGTTGTCCACCTTGGTGTAAACAAGAATTCCAACATTTATAAAATATTTAAAAAATAAAGCCCCTCATTTCCTACATCACATTCCTGACACACACATGCATTGGAGAGATTTAATTAAAGAGAATACAAACATAATGTCTAGATGTTATTTAAAATGTATGCCAGGCCAACTGAAAGCTAAGATACCTGGAAGGTAACTGATTTGTTCCAGGCCCTACTGTTTTAAGATTCACCCTGAGAACTGGTACTCTAAGCAATCTGGGGGGCCATGCCTCCTTGAGTTTCAAGTTAGTAAAACAAAAACAGCAGCTAAGACAGCTTATATTGATCAAAACCCAAAAACCAGTTGTCATCACATTGATTCTGCTCCGCAGGGTTGATAGGAATGATCTTTTGGAAGTAGATCACCAAACCTTTCCTCTGACGTGCTTCTGGATAGAGTCAAAGGCTTTTAGTTTTCTTTATACAGATCTTTAGAAAACTTAGGGTTCTAATTTCAGTTAGCATACAAGCAAGGGTTCTGTATGTTCTTAGGGTAAATTTCTGCAAATAAAATCCCCCACATTTGATGAAAGGCTCACAGGCTAATACTTCTTAGTTCTTGGCAATCTTTATTATGACCTAAAACATGATTTCATAGTTATTCTTTAGTATTTACCTCTGAATGTCCACAACCAACTACAATTGGACAAAACTCTGTAGAGCGTCAAATAAGAGAAGTAACACTACAGAAAGTCTCCCTCCTCAATTGAAAGATAGGTATGTCTCAAAGACATTTAATCACTTAACATGATGAAGAGCTGATTATGTCCCAGTTCACTTTCTAAAGGTAAAATTTATTTCTTGTTGAAGAGGCAACATCATAATTCCATCAGAATTAATTCTAAATCCCTAGTCACTACAGCATATGACTAATCTACTTTAATTATGGTTCTTCGCCTGGAGTCCGATGGTTCTTGAGATAGCCTACTATCCAGAAAATGTTTGGGACAAGCCAATCTGATGCAAATAACATTCCAGAAAATAGAACTTGAATGTAAGAAAAAAGGGACCTTGGAATTTCCAGTAATTGTTTAGTTTAAAAAAAAAATAAGATAAAACAAAGGTGGGAAAACCTGGAATTAGATTCTGGGCAGTGATTGGTCCTAATTTTCTATTCCAACCGTTTAGTTTCTAGAAAAGAAAATTACCCTGGGTTGTTTCACAGATCTAGTTAATGGTAAAACTAATTTCATACCAAAGCTTTCTTATTTAGTAAAACTTCCTTGCTTTCTCAATGTATTGCTGCTGTTATGGTTAGATTCCATTGAGTTGGTTCTGACTCACAGCAACCCCATGTACTACAGAACAAAACACTGCCTGTTCCTGTACCAGCCTCACAACTGCTGCTATGCTCGAACCCATCACTGCACCCACTCTTTGAATCCATCTCCTTGGGGTCCTCCTCTGTTTCGCTGACCCTCTGCTTTTTTAAGCATGATGTTCTTGTCCAGGGACTGGTCTCACCTGAAAACAACTCCAAATTACAAGAGGCAAAGTCCCATCATCCTTGCTTCTAAGGAGCATTCTGGCTGTACTTCTTTCAAGATAGATTCGTCCATTCTTCTGGCAGTTCATGGTATATTTAATATTCTTTGCCAACATCATAATTCAAAGGCATCAATTCCTTTCCAGTCTACCTTATTCACTGTCCAGATTTCACATACATATGAGGCTATTGAAAATACTATGGTGTAGGTCAGGTACACCATAGTCCTCAAGGTGACATCTTTGCTTTTTAACACTTTAAAGAGGTCTTTTGCAGTGGATTTGCCCAATGCGATACATTGTCTGATTTCCTGACTCTGCTTCCATGGGCATTGGTTGTGAATCCAAGTAAAGTGAAATCCTTGACAACTTCAATTTTTTCTCCATTTATCATGATGTTGCTTATTGGTATAGTTGTAAGAACTTTTGTTGAGGTGTAATCCATACTGAAAGCTGTAGTTTTTGATCTTCATCAGTAAACACTTCAAGTCCTCTTCCCTTTCAGCTAGCAAGATTGTATCACATGCCTATCTCAGATTGTTAATGAGTCTTTGTCCAGTCCTGATGCCGTGTTTTTCTTAATATAGTCCAGCTTCTCAGATTATTTTCTTAGCATACAGATTGAGTAAGTATAGTAAAGGTTATAACTGTAACACACACTTTTCCTGATTTTAAACCATGCAGTAACCCCTTCTTCTGTTCAAATGACTGTCTTTTCGTCCACGTACAGGTTCTGCATGAGCACAGTTAAGTGTTCTGGAATTCCCATTCTTCTCAATGTTATCCATAATTTATTATGATCTGCACAGTTGATTGCCTTTGCATAGTCAATAAAACACAAGTAAACATCTTTCTGGTATTCTCTTCTTTCAGCCAAGGTCCATCTGGTATCAGCAGTGATATCCCTTGTCCCAGGTCCTCTTCTGAATCTGACTTGAATTTCTAGCAGTTCCCTGTTTACGCACTGCTGCAACACTTTTTGAATTCAGTAACATTTTACTTGTGTGTTATATTTCTTGTATTGTTTGATAATTTCCACATCTTGTTGGATCGCCTTTCTTTGGAATGGGAACAGATATGGATTTCTTCCAGCCAGTTGGCTAGGAAAAACCTGGAATTAAATCTGGGCAGCGATTGGCCCTAATTATCTATTCCAACCCCTCAGTTTATAGAAGACGAAACTAGCCATCATGGTGTCACAGATCTAGTTAACTGTAAAGCTAAATTTATAGCAAAGCTTTCTTGTTTAGAAAAAGCCTTCTTGCTTTCTGAATGTCTTATTTTCTATAAAGGGCTGAAGCTTAAAACTAAATATGGTAACTGTGGGTTTACCTGTCATCTTATCAGCCCATTCTTCCACATATACACAATTAAGACTGACTCATATTATCATAGTACCTCTGGGGCATGGTAAGAAACAGAAATACTTAATGGATCAAGAAAAATGATAATGTGTTGGTAATTTCACAGCAGAGTCTATTTAGTGTACATGAGTTTTTTTTTTAAAAAAAAAGGTTTGACGCATGAATGGCACATGGGGCAACATATTAACACAGCTATTGGAGTCATTACAGACTGCAAGAGAGCAGAGCTATCAGACCTGACACAACTGGATGATCTTTGGCAGGAAGACATATATGTACCATGCCAGGACAATTAACAAGCTGCATCCCAGTTCCTTTGTTTCCTTTCAATAAACAAAATTTCCTTATAATTCAAAGTGCCATCTATCAAGATGAGTACACTTAGTGCTACCTCCCTCAGAAGAAGAAAACACAACAATGACAATAACTCATACACACAAACGACCACCTTACCCACCCCCCACATATACAAAAACGATGGCCTCCATGCTCCTTATTGTCCAGGGCTTTTTTGGGTTTAAATGAGACACTTACTCAACAATGAGTCACACATAATTGAAGGGGGAGCAAACAGAGCCGGGCAGCTGGAACTGTCAAGAGCAAAGTATAACAATGATTGGGATCACTTAAGCCGCCTTTCCAAACCCTGCCAGCTTGGTTAAATGCCTGGCTAATAGCAGCTGTGCGCCAGAGCTGGGCCAAGACTGACAGTGAATGCAGGGCACACCACTCACACACAGTTCTGGGTAGACTTGTCATACACTAATATTAGTTCTTTATCCTAGAGGTTGCAAACTACATTTTACTTATACTTTTCATAATGCTTGCTATTTGTCCAACTGTATTCATTTTATCAGGAGTTCCGGTAGCATAGTGCCCAGGCATTTGACTGCTAACCAGAAGGCTGGCGGTTCAAACCCACCAACCACTCCTTGGAAGGAAGGTTGGGCAATCTACTTTCATAGTGATACTGCCTCAGAAACCCAAGGAGGGGTCGCTATGAGTTGGGCCCGATTGGACAGCATATAACAACAACAACAACACTCACTTTATTAGAGCACAATTCTTTCCACGTTCTAATTCATAAGATGATAAAAAAAATTAGAGAGCAAGACTCAATTGCTCTAGTGGGATTAATTTATATATTAACCCTTTTGAACATAAGAAACCTGCCCAGAATTGGTGATATACTTAAATACCCATTTACATTATTTAAAATTTTCTTATGCAGGTGAGGATTCACACTGAAATGTGAAGCTGATTTGTTTGCCATAGTTTTTCTAAGCATGCAAGTTCCTTAAATAAGGAATATATAAGCAATGAGTAAGCCTTGAGCAAAACTAGAAAAGAAGATGTAACATTCTTTATCTTTTGTGTTATTTCATTAAATAGCAGCAGTTAAGCCAACTCCACAGTTCTGGCTCAGAGTTCAGTTGCTATTTCACAGGTATTAACTGGTTTGGTTAAGACCCTCACTCTACAATTCTGAAGGAAACATACCAGTTTCTCCATTTTCATTAACTTGATGTCCTGTTGATGCAATTTCTCATTCTTGATCTCTAACACAGCTTTCAGGCTTTCTAATTCTTGCTCTAGATACATGATCTGAGGGTTTTTCTGAAAGAGACATGGTAGGACACCTTTGTGATTGATCATTTCACACATTCACATAGTCTAAATTCTATATATCAAGGACCTTTGATTATATTTAGAAATAAGACAAATCACTTTCTAAAGTAGCAAGGGACTTCCATCTTCTTAGTGCAGTGTCAAAGTAAAAGGTGAAAAAGAAGGGCCAAAATCATTTTGCTCTCAAAGACTTTGGTCATAAAATTAAAATAAAAAGAACAAACATTTTATTCACTTATTGGAAACCTAATATTGAAAAAAATGTTGGCAGTACCAAATTTTTTCTGGAAACAAGAGAAAACTCATTCATTACAATACAAAACCAAACTCTGGCTATAGACTAGGCAATCTCTAAGTCCTTTACTGGTGTTCGGGAGGAGGAAAGGGAACAACAGTTTTCTCTAACCACATTCAGTAACTGACAGGAATGGGGACAGTACATATGTAGGGCTCTTTGGAAATGACAGTGACATACAGTTCTGTTTCATGTTTCCTTTGAATATAATTATCAGGGTGTAACCCTGGTCAATAATGTGCCAAGTCTTTTGGAGTTTCTTTATAATGGCCTACATTGGTCTGGCCACACCCTAGGGCAACCATATCACTCCTATTTTATTTTGTGACACTCCCAACACGTACATGGCATATAGCACATGCACTACTAAAACACTCTCTAAGATGTACACTATGTAAGGGGAGACATTTTCTGAGAGCATTCCACTGGGCTGGAATTCCTACCCCTCCTTGATTTATGGAAATCCAACTGGACCAAAGCTCACTATGTAAATTAATAATACAGGATCTATTGATTAATGAGGAACTTTCTTAGCTATGACTCAATAGTGTAAATCATCAAAACTATTCTCAAGGGCAAAGGTTTCTGCTCTAGACTAATCCTTAAAAAGAAATAGGAAATGGGAGAACTGGAATGTTCTTTGGGGATTACTTAATCCCAAAAGCCTCTCACTTCACAAGAGAAAATGTGTTCTACAGTGACCTGCTCCATTCTGGAAACATAAAATGTCAGGATGGGAAGTAACACCCAGATCTTCAAACTCAGAGCTCTTTCAGAAATTTCATATAATGTTCTCTCTCCTTTTACATAATGTTTTTTTTTTTAAACTCCTAAGACAGCAAATTCTACCTCATTTTGTTAGAGGGGAAACAGCATAATTTTCTCTGCTAATTTTTGAACATACTTTTCCTACTCTGCCATCCTGGGCCTTCTCCCTTAATCCACTTATATATGTACTCTCTTTTTCTTCAATCTCAACAGGGGTGAGGCATTAGATATTCCTGCCTTCCTCAATCTGTTACCTTCTTAGCTTTCTAAAGGTTCCTTCAATAGGAGAACTGCCACTGTGTACCAGGAAGCTCTTTAAAACCAGCTCCTTCAACTAGTAGTTGAATTTATACCCTACATGTAAGCCTATATTTCTTTTGAAGTCACTGACTTTTTCTAAAAATCTTCCAGAATAAATAGCTTTCAGGTTTCACTAAATATGACCTCATCTCATTTTGTTAAAATGTTTAGAGAGTCCCTCAATGAGATTATCAACACAAGGGCTCACAGAGAGATCCACACAGGGACTTCATGAGCTGGCAACAGATTTTAAGTGGCAAAACAGCTTTGCTTCCATAGCTTAAATTGCAAATGTATGGAATGAAAATGACATGAAAGGCAAAAGCAGCAAGAGGGGGGAAAAAAAAGGCAGGAAAGTAAGGATATAATTTGCAAGAGAAAGTTAAGCCTACAAGAGAAATGTGTACTTTTCAAAGGTGAAGTCTTTTTGCATACAATGGAATATTATTACGTCATAAAAAGGATGAAGTTCTGATATATGCTACAACAATGGGTGAACACAGAAAACACGTGAAGTGGAAGAAGTCAGACACAAAAGGCCACATATTATATGATGCCTATTATAGGAAAAATGGCCACAATAGGTAAATTCATAGAGACAGAAAGTAGATTAATGGGTCCAGCCAGGGCTCTGGGGCGAGAACGGAATGGAGAGCAACTGCTAACAGGCAGAGTTTCTTTCTGGGATGATAAAAATGTTCTGGAAGGAGATAGTGGTGGTAGACACAGCACTTTGTGAGTATACTAAAAACCACTGAACTGTAAAACTTCATGGGATGTAAATTATATCTGACTAAAGCAGTAACTCTAAAAAGTAAGTAAATAGGTAAAATCTTCCCATAAAACCCTAGCCTTAATTAATAAAGTGTTCTTGTTTTCCTGTAGGTGTTAGCTTAGATCACTCAAAATATATTGTACTCCTTCTACATGGCAGGCACGGAAAGGATTTCAAACCCATATTATTTCTCTAGCTGCTGAGCACTTGAGAGATGGACTCTAAAAGGCAATTGAGCAGAAGAAAAATCAGGAGTGATGAAGGAGCACACATAAGCAACTTACTAAATTTGCTTTCTCTCTTGATATTCTTTTTTGCTCTTCTGATTTCAACTTTTCATTTAAAGTATCATTTTCACTCTTCAGATCGTTGATTTGTTTCTAAAACACAACGGTGATATGTGACATGTAAGTTAGCAGCAAGGGGACATAGAGAGCTAATGTACACAGAACCATACCAGAAACACACAAACATCAAGAATGATGGGATTTTATTTTTTTATATTGAGCTTCACCCACCTCTAGTGATTCCTGTTTCTCGTGATGCAGATCCTCAAGTGATTTCTTTTCCATTTCATGGCTTTTCTTGATTTCTGGAAAGAAGTGGTATTTTTTGGGGGGCAATAAACATTCTAATATCTTTTGATATCTGAGATCATTATATTCTGCAATTACTAAAGCAAATCAATTATGAAACAATATAAATATGTTACTATATATTTGTATATATTTGTATGATTTTATATAAATGAAGCCATCAATCTCTTAAAACAGCCCTGTAAGGTGGCTGCTATTTCCAATTTATGGCTGAGAGCAGCACAAAGGCTCATAGTGGCTAAGTGACGGCAAGGGACTTGTAGCCTGGCCCTCAGACTCTTGGTCTAAAATCTGCTTTTTTTCAGTTTCCTCTTCATAAAACAAACAGAAGCCTAAACCCATTTCTAGTGAGAAGGAAGGAAAACAGCATTTATTAAGTGTCTGCCCTGGGCCAGCTGACCTTTGTATGCTACTGCCTCTGACTTTATATGACAGTTTTATTTTTCTGATGAGAAAGGCCATATGATATATGGCCAAAGATCATATGATTACTTCTCACCATACTTCCACACATTTTCTCTGCAGGATGCAGCGGGCTCGGTGTGAAAACTTCAGCTACACTGACAACTGTATTCTGAAAGAAAAGGCTGCTTATTCTTTCCCTTCTATTTCAATCCTTCTAATATTTGTTTCTAAAACACAGCAGTGATATGTGACATGGAAGTTAGCAGCAAGCGGACATAGAGAGCCAATGTACACAGAACCATACCAGAAACACACAAACATTAAGAATGACGGGATTTAAAAAAAAAAAAAAAATATATATATATATATATATATATGTATATATATATCAAATAATACAAAGGAAAGACTATTCAACAAGAGCCATCTACATACAACGTGCCCAAGTGTGTGCAGAGTGCTGGGGAGTAAGAGTGCTTTGTATGGATCCATGACTGTAGCCAGCAAGTAAGTGACAATTTCAACTTCCCGGGATCCTACACTGGTAAAGTGCAATCACCCATCACCAAAAGGTGACTTTAAAAATCTTTCAAAGTTTATTCTGTTTCCTAAAAGGCTGGCATTTACAATACACTCTGATTAACAATCCATCGGAAGCATTCATTAGCAATGAACAATACAAAAAGAAACGAAGGACATTCCAAATTGAATGACACGGAGCAGTCTCTGGAGGGGAAAGTTATGAATCATTTCCCTTTTATAATGTATATCACTGTTCCATGAGCTCTTACTCTATTTAAATAGAAAAGACATCCTTGCCTGAAAGGGAGGTTTCATATGCCTTCTTTAGCAATTCTACTTTCTCTGAATGGCTAGCTTCAATTTCCAATTTAGAGGTCTCATGGGCAGCATTTAAGTTGTCAAACTGTAAGAATAAACAAAACAATAGTTAAAAGCTTTAACTTAAATGTTCAAGCAGTAACATAAGGAGACTTTGACACATAAATCTGCATTTAAGTTTAAGGGCAACCTAACATATGTAACAGGAGCTCTGGTTATGCAGTGGTTAAGGCTTCTGGCTGCTTACCAAAAGGTTGGTGTTTCAAACCCACCAGTTGCTCTGTGGGAGAAAGATAAGGCAGTTTGCTTTTGTAAAGATTTACAGCACTGAAAATCCTATGGGGCAGTTCTGCTCTGTTCCATAGGGTCCTTGTGAGTTGGAATCAACTCAATGGTAGCGGGTTTGGTTTGGTTTGGTAAGATATACACCGAACAACCCAATTTGTATTTACCTGTCTTTCCATGACATAAGTATACAAGTTTTCTACGGTTCACTGACAGACACGGCTGTGAGTCCATCATCAGGAATAAGGATATTTTTCACAGTGACAGGGCATATCGCTGCCCATAAGCTCTATACTGGTCATTCTCACTGCTATATTCTCAGTTCCTAGCACATGCCTGATACACAGTAGCCCCTTTGTAAACATTTGCTAAATGCATAACCAAATTTAAAAAGGAGCAAGTAAGTAAATTAAAAACAGGTTTATGATATACTCTTTTGTGACACAATGGATTATAAAACAAGTCCCATTGAAAAAAACAAAAAAGAAAAGAAATGTAAACCAATGTTTAACACAACATCAGGGTATTCAAAAAGGGATTATCTCTGGGTAGTGGGATAAACCATTGTTCTTAATTTTCTTTCTTTCTTTCACTCAGCATATGCATACTACTTTGATTGTAAGAAAAATGCTTAATTTTTTTTAAAATTTCACCTATTAAACAGACAGACAAAACAAAGAAACTCATTGTTGAATTGAGCAACTGCCAGAATTCAAGGAAATAGCCATAAGCAAGAACAAGTGCAGGTTCCAACAGCACAGACCTGCTCTTGCAACTGAGTTTTATACTTCTCTGCTTCTTCAATATAAATATTCTGAAGCTTTTCGCACTCCCCGGTGTAAAATTCTTTAAGCCGATTCTCTAGCTCTGTTAGATCAGTCTGATGCTGCTGGTTTAGCTTCTGGACAAATCCTTCGTAGGCTATTTGTATCTCATTCCTGGCTTTTTCTAATTTCTCACAGGTGGTTGAAGCAGTGACTGAAAAGAGATTGAAAAGAAAAGGGGACATGACATTTAACTTCTCAAATGTTCTTAATTCCTAACATTCACACAGAGCTGGAAGCATAAACACAGTGATGCCTAGGTTCTCAGATTTTCAAGTATAATAGCACAGAGCGAACTGAAAAAGAACAAGAGGAAATGGTCTCTGGCAGCTGAAAAAGAAATTGACAAGCAGGAAGAGAAGTATATGTGAGAGAACAGTAGAAAGACCTACAAGCAGGACACCTACCCCAGGGAGATGCACCCCTAGGTCAATCAACCATGAGACAGCAGAAGGGCATCATTTGCAGAGGGAAAGCTGGGCAGACAGAAATGCATTGATAAAAAGGGCACAGGGAATGGCTAGTCACAGGGAAGAAGGAGATGGGAGGAGAGCTTTTCATGGTTGGGGATTATAATCTGGGCCGTGAAACCAAATGTATATGAACTATTGTGTGTAAAATGAATCTGCTTTGTAAATTTGCATACACATCACAATAAAAATAAAAATAAAAATAATAATAAAAAGTAAAGATAACCCTTTTGCATGGTGACCAGTCAGCATAATACTGGCTATAAGAAGAGGAGAGCTCCAACTGGCTTGGACATTTCTAAGGACAAGTTAGTTATTCTACCCAGTACCAACTAGTATGAGAAAAGCTAAGGACAGAGAGGGTACAGAAAAGGGAAACCAGAGAAAGGAGATGAATGGACTTTAAAAGCTTGTACTTAATTTGAGCTGATTCCAATTTATTTTAAATATATAGTAATCAAAACATTAGACCATACTGAACACAAATCACCAAAGTATACAAATTTTAGGAAAAAAACACTTTTTTTGCTATAATATAATATAAATAAATGGAAAGTTAGCATATTTTAAAGAGGGAAAATAATTTGGCTAGTGTAAATTAAAATCAGAGCCACCTACCTCTTCACCATCACTACTAAAAGTAGAAATACTACCAATATAAGACAGAATAAAAACATACATATACATACATACATACTATACATACATACACATATGCACATACTATAATAAATCCTTGAATATCTCTACAATTTCTCAGGAACTTTGGACTTTTCAAGCTTTCTTTCACCAATTTTTAATAGAGGTAAATTGAGTGGTATTTTTAATTGTGAGGAGGATGCATGGTCTCAATATCCCAGAGTGCCCATACCAAACCAAACTCACTGCCATTAAGTCAATTCCAACTCATAGTGACACTTTAGAACAGACTAGCAACTAAAATGCTTTAACCACTACACCACCAGAGCTCCTAGAGTACCCAAAACCAAACTCATTGCTGTCGAGTCAGTTCTGGCTCAGAGTGATCCCATCTTGAGTTTCCAAGGCAGTATCTCTATGGAAGTAGATTGCCCAGTTTTCCTTCTGGGGAGTGGCTGGCTGGTGGGTTTGAACCACAACCCTTCTGGGTAGTAGTCAAATGTGTTAGGCACTACACCACCAGAGCTCCTGAGAGTACCCATAGACTAATATTAAAACCAAAAAGGGAGATGTTGTTGTTATGTGCTGTCGAGTTGGACCTGACTCACAGCGACCCCTCTTTGGGTTTCCAGCGACCCCTCTTTGGGGTTCCAAGGCAGCATCACTATGGAAGTAGATTTCCCAACCTTCCTTCTGAGGAGTGGCTGGTGGGTTTGAACCTCCAGCCTTCTGGTTAGCAGTCAAGTGCCTTAGGCACTACGCTACCAGAGCTCTTATGCTAGACTATAGGGGCCATCATATGGAACATCACTGACAACTCAGTCCTTTGAGATTAAATATTGGAAGTTGTTTTCTTTAAAAGTATTTGGTAAGACAAAAGGACCATCTAGATTGATAGAGAACATCCTCTTCATGTTCATTCTTCCTTTTATTACATTATTTATAAAAGGAGGGAATAAAGATTCAAAGATTTAAATCTTAAAGTGAGTAAATGCAAAATCACCTTCCATCAGTGAATTTTCCAATGGACATAAGTAAAATGATAATGCTATCAACTATCTCCGTAGGCTCCTTCTGTGAATTCCATGTTAATGCTTTGTATAAAAGTAGATAATACAAAAATACTTTGGAAATAATCAATGAAAGCCTCAAATAGCTTTCTAGTCAGAGAAACCTTGGTCCTACATGGCCTTTTTACGTTTCCCTTGCAATTTCAGTATCAACAAAGCAAGAAAATAAAAGTACCAACATGTTCATTGTTGTTGTTGTTGTTGTTATGTGCCGTCGAGTCGGCCCCGACTCATAGCGACCCCTCCTTGGGTTTCCGAGGCAGTATCACTAC